ATTTAAAAAAAATTGACAATTTTGAAAATTTATGGTTTTGGGTTTGGAAAAATTAAAGTCATAGAGTATATGACCTTGGTTCTCAAACAACCGAGGTCATATTTCTTAAAATAAGTTTTGAAAAATTTTGAAAGTTTTGATGCACTTTTCAACTTTGATTTTGTAATAACCAAAATTATCTATGAATATGACTTCGGTTATTTGAGAATCGAAGCTAAATCTCACTTTAAAATTTTTAAAAATTTTGAACACCTTTTGATTTCGATTATTTTATAATCGAAGTCAAAATGAATATATGACTTCAAATACAATCGGAACAGTAAGTTTGTAAAATATTCAAAATTGCCATCACATTTTTATATTTTCTTTTTTTAACTAAATATGAATTAAAAAGGAAAATTTGCACTAGTATATGTAACAATTTTATGTAGTAGTAATAAATAAAAATCATTATTTGCTTTCCAAGTGTCTTCTTAATTCTTTGTAGAAGATATGATCCATATTTTTTTAGTTTTAAAAAACTAAAATCAAATTGAATATTATAATTTACATATGAGACACTAAAAACGTATAATGGTATATAATATTGAAAGAAAAGTAATAAACTCATTTATGCATATATTTTGATGTACACAAATGTAGCGAGTATCTAAATTTGTATATAAAAGAGATTCCCTTTTTGGCATTCACTTTTTTTTTCACTTTTACCCTTTAAGTTACGGTTTTGTTTAATTTTAAATCATCTACTAAATAAATAAAAATAATTTACAAAATAAATAAAAAATATCTATAATTAAATTTAGCATGTGTTTTCATGGGTGAATTGATAATAAATTTTGTTGTGTTCTGATAATGGAAATAAATAAATTTTAGTTATTGAAATAAAAAACATTATAAGTTATATTGTGCAAATATGTTTTTATTAGGAGTAATTATTTTAATTTTGAAAAAGTAGCTAAAATGATAAAGGTGTAAGTAATTTTTTATAAAAAAAATAATTATTTGAATTCAAAAAATAGTTACTAAAATAATAAAATTGAAAAATAATCTTTTTTTTGAACAATTATTTAAATTTTAAAAACATTAATTAAGCAAGTAAAATTGTGTGTGTGTGTGTGTATATATATATATATATATATTTTAAGACTTTAAAGGGTTAAGAGTACCTTTCGTAAAGGGTTCAAAGTCTTGTAAGTATGTACAAGATTTTAGATATACGTCAATACGTCAAAAGTAGTGTTATTGCTAATTTAAGATAATTTGAAATGCAAAGCCATATTGATTATTTCAGCTTTGTATATGGTACTCTAGACAATAGTCAACAGTCGTAGGAGGCTATAAATATTTTTTCTTATTAAACAAAAAAAAAAAAATTGGTCAAAAGATACGTATTTTGATAGTTAAGGGACTAAAAACATATTTAACCCTTTATAAAACCAAAGAAATAATACCTCTATGATTTCACTTCTATTAAAAATTGAAACCTAATGCTTGCGAGTAAAATACAAAAAAAAAATTAATTTCACTTATGGCCTTAGGTCGGGAAACATTGAAGCCATAAAATTATATAGCATTAATTTTCTCACAGTGATGCCATATCTTCTTTCTTAAATAAAATATTTAAAAAAAATTGACAATTTTGAAAATTTATGGTTTTGGGTTTGGAAAAATTAAAGTCATAGAGTATATGACCTTGGTTCTCAAACAACCGAGGTCATATTTCTTAAAATAAGTTTTGAAAAATTTTGAAAGTTTTGATGCACTTTTCAACTTTGATTTTGTAATAACCAAAATTATCTATGAATATGACTTCGGTTATTTGAGAATCGAAGCTAAATCTCACTTTAAAATTTTTAAAAATTTTGAACACCTTTTGATTTCGATTATTTTATAATCGAAGTCAAAATGAATATATGACTTCAAATACAATCGGAACAGTAAGTTTGTAAAATATTCAAAATTGCCATCACATTTTTATATTTTCTTTTTTTAACTAAATATGAATTAAAAAGGAAAATTTGCACTAGTATATGTAACAATTTTATGTAGTAGTAATAAATAAAAATCATTATTTGCTTTCCAAGTGTCTTCTTAATTCTTTGTAGAAGATATGATCCATATTTTTTTAGTTTTAAAAAACTAAAATCAAATTGAATATTATAATTTACATATGAGACACTAAAAACGTATAATGGTATATAATATTGAAAGAAAAGTAATAAACTCATTTATGCATATATTTTGATGTACACAAATGTAGCGAGTATCTAAATTTGTATATAAAAGAGATTCCCTTTTTGGCATTCACTTTTTTTTTCACTTTTACCCTTTAAGTTACGGTTTTGTTTAATTTTAAATCATCTACTAAATAAATAAAAATAATTTACAAAATAAATAAAAAATATCTATAATTAAATTTAGCATGTGTTTTCATGGGTGAATTGATAATAAATTTTGTTGTGTTCTGATAATGGAAATAAATAAATTTTAGTTATTGAAATAAAAAACATTATAAGTTATATTGTGCAAATATGTTTTTATTAGGAGTAATTATTTTAATTTTGAAAAAGTAGCTAAAATGATAAAGGTGTAAGTAATTTTTTATAAAAAAAATAATTATTTGAATTCAAAAAATAGTTACTAAAATAATAAAATTGAAAAATAATCTTTTTTTTGAACAATTATTTAAATTTTAAAAACATTAATTAAGCAAGTAAAATTGTGTGTGTGTGTGTGTATATATATATATATATATATTTTAAGACTTTAAAGGGTTAAGAGTACCTTTCGTAAAGGGTTCAAAGTCTTGTAAGTATGTACAAGATTTTAGATATACGTCAATACGTCAAAAGTAGTGTTATTGCTAATTTAAGATAATTTGAAATGCAAAGCCATATTGATTATTTCAGCTTTGTATATGGTACTCTAGACAATAGTCAACAGTCGTAGGAGGCTATAAATATTTTTTCTTATTAAACAAAAAAAAAAAAATTGGTCAAAAGATACGTATTTTGATAGTTAAGGGACTAAAAACATATTTAACCCTTTATAAAACCAAAGAAATAATACCTCTATGATTTCACTTCTATTAAAAATTGAAACCTAATGCTTGCGAGTAAAATACAAAAAAAAAATTAATTTCACTTATGGCCTTAGGTCGGGAAACATTGAAGCCATAAAATTATATAGCATTAATTTTCTCACAGTGATGCCATATCTTCTTTCTTAAATAAAATATTTAAAAAAAATTGACAATTTTGAAAATTTATGGTTTTGGGTTTGGAAAAATTAAAGTCATAGAGTATATGACCTTGGTTCTCAAACAACCGAGGTCATATTTCTTAAAATAAGTTTTGAAAAATTTTGAAAGTTTTGATGCACTTTTCAACTTTGATTTTGTAATAACCAAAATTATCTATGAATATGACTTCGGTTATTTGAGAATCGAAGCTAAATCTCACTTTAAAATTTTTAAAAATTTTGAACACCTTTTGATTTCGATTATTTTATAATCGAAGTCAAAATGAATATATGACTTCAAATACAATCGGAACAGTAAGTTTGTAAAATATTCAAAATTGCCATCACATTTTTATATTTTCTTTTTTTAACTAAATATGAATTAAAAAGGAAAATTTGCACTAGTATATGTAACAATTTTATGTAGTAGTAATAAATAAAAATCATTATTTGCTTTCCAAGTGTCTTCTTAATTCTTTGTAGAAGATATGATCCATATTTTTTTAGTTTTAAAAAACTAAAATCAAATTGAATATTATAATTTACATATGAGACACTAAAAACGTATAATGGTATATAATATTGAAAGAAAAGTAATAAACTCATTTATGCATATATTTTGATGTACACAAATGTATCGAGTATCTAAATTTGTATATAAAAGAGATTCCCTTTTTGGCATTCACTTTTTTTTTCACTTTTACCCTTTAAGTTACGGTTTTGTTTAATTTTAACTAATTTATTAAATTTAACCCCCGTTTTTTATTAATTTAACTAACTTTTAAAATTAAATAAATGAAAATCATCTACTAAATAAATAAAAATTATTTACAAAATAAATAAAAACTATCTATAATTAAATTTAGCATGTGTTTTCATGGGTGAATTGATAATAAATTTTGTTGTGTTCTGATAATGGAAATAAATAAATTTTAGTTATTGAAATAAAAAACAGTATAAGTTATATTGTGCAAATATGTTTTTATTAGGAGTAATTATTTTAATTTTGAAAAAGTAGCTAAAATGATAAAGGTGTAAGTAATTTTTTATAAAAAAAATAATTATTTGAATTCAAAAAATAGTTACTAAAATAATAAAATTGAAAAATAATCTTTTTTTTGAACAATTATTTAAATTTTAAAAACATTAATTAAGCAAGTTCAATTGTGTGTGTGTGTATATATATATATATATATATATATTTTAAGACTTTAAAGGGTTAAGAGTACCTTTCGTAAAGGGTTCAAAGTCTTGTAAGTATGTACAAGATTTTAGATATACGTCAATACGTCAAAAATAGTGTTATTGCTAATTTAAGATAATTTGAAATGCAAAGCCATATTGATTATTTCAGCTTTGTATATGGTACTCTAGACAATAGTCAACAGTCGTAGGAGGCTATAAATATTTTTTCTTATTAAACAAAAAAAAAATTGGTCAAAAGATACGTATTTTTAATTCTAAGTAGTGGTAAGTAACCTAAAAATACTGTAAGAGACGCGTTAATTTTAATTAAATGGCCAAAGACAAAAAGTAGCGTGTACCATTATTTGTTGAGGTTAAGTCATCAATCTTTGCGTATAAACGTGGCTTCTAATGCTCTATTCTTCTTCGCGGATATATCCACCCAAAAGCTAAGACAAAGAAAACCAAGTGGAGAGAAGTGGTTGTGAAACAGCTAAACTGCTTTGTGTTAGAGACCAGTCAAATAAATTACACCCATTCCTTATTCTTTGTATATATATACATAAGTCATAACCATAAAAACCAATTCATTTTATAATAAGCTCAAACTTTCAAACACAGAAAATCTCACAAACCAAACAGTATTACTGCACAACAACAAAGATCCTTCAGACTATGGAGTCTGTGGTGTCTCAGCTAGAAGGCACGCTTCTGAAGGACTCCGATGCATTCTCTTATTTCATGTTGGTGGCGTTTGAAGCATCAGGTTTGGTTCGTTTCGCCTTGTTGCTTGCGCTATGGCCTGTGATTCGGTTACTTGACATGGTTGGCATGGACGATGCGTCTCTCAATTTGATGATCTTTGTGGCTGTGGCGGGGGTTCCCAAGTCTGAGATTGAGTCCGTGGCAAGAGCAGTTTTGCCCAAGTTCTACATGGATGATCTCGACATGGACAAGTGGAAGGTGTTCAGCTCTTACGAGAAGAGGATTGTGGTGACGAAGACGCCAAAAATCATGGTGGAGATGTTCGTCAAGGAGCATCTTCACGCTGATGAGGTCGTCGGAACCCAACTCTCCTTCAATAGGTTTGACCTCGCCACTGGTTTTCTCCATGCTGACTCCACTAACACCATTTTTCAAAGGGTCGCCAACCTTCTCAACAATGGCGCGCCCACTTTGGTTATGGTAAGTCCCGTTACACTATCAAATCAAACATATGCATGGAAAAGGAAACCAATACCCACTTTACTTTTCTCCATCTATATAGGAATTGGAAAATAACTTCACACCTATTTCTCTTTCACATTCATTTCACGGTTCTTTTAATAACAAAATATTATATTCAGATAATCAAATTTTCAAATAAAATAATACTATACATAGTTTCACCACTGATCACCAATAACTGAATTTCAGTTTTATTTTAGGTTTTAGCTGGTTTAATTAGATCAACACCTTGGGAATTTTTCTATGTATATAATTAGCTTTTAGCTTAAGGTTTTGGACAAATTGTTGCAACTTTAGTTCACCCTTGAGTCGGTCTAGTGGTTTAAAATGACGTTTTGTTTATCTCGTGGGCTTATTTTTAGCAATGTTATGATATTTTTTTGTTTGATGATGCTGTAACTTGATATCTTTTTTATATTTATACCAAAATTAAAACAAAACTAATTGGTGTTAAAACAAAATTTGTTAATTTTATATTAAAATATTAGTACTAACTTTTATTAATTTAGGGTATAATAAATTTTATTCCTTTATACGGTAGATAATGTAAACTAAAATTAATCTACGTATATATACTAAGTACTTTCCTTCATTACATGCAGGACCAATCACATCCACCAGATTTGACAGGCCAAAACTACGAGCACCAGCTGCTCCGGCCGCTTCCGGTGATTTTCCACGACGGCCGCCTTGTGAAGCGGCCAACGCCGTCCACTTCCCTACTGATCCTACTATGGATTCCGGTGGGTATTGTACTCGCCATTATCCGCATCGCCATTGGCTCCGTTCTACCCTTTTGGGCCATTCCCTACATGTCATGGCTATTCGGTGGCAAGGTCATCGTAAAGGGAAAACCACCCCTCCCTCCCTCCGGCGGCAACGCCGGCGTCCTCTTCGTCTGCACCCACCGCACCCTAATGGACCCAGTCGTCCTCTCCTCCGTCCTCCTCCGCAAAATCCCGGCGGTCACGTACTCCATCTCGCGGTTATCGGAGATCCTCTCTCCCATTCCCACCGTAAGGCTCACGAGAACACGCCATGTGGACGCTGAGAAAATCAAACGAGAGTTATCGAAAGGTGACTTAGTAGTGTGCCCCGAAGGAACAACATGTCGCGAGCCTTTCCTTTTGAGGTTCAGTGCCCTCTTCGCTGAACTCACTGACCGGATAGTGCCCGTGGCCATGAACTACAGGGTAGGGTTCTTCCACGCCACAACTGCGAGAGGTTGGAAGGGTTTGGACCCAATTTTCTTCTTCATGAACCCTAGACCGGTGTACGAGGTTACTTTCTTGAACCAGTTGCCGGTAGAAGCGACGTGTTCTTCGGGGAAGAGTCCACATGACGTGGCTAACTACGTGCAGAGGATACTAGCGGCGACGCTAGGGTTTGAGTGCACGAACTTCACTCGAAAGGACAAGTACAGGGTGTTGGCGGGGAATGACGGCACTGTGTCTCCCACTTTTTCATTGGTGGATCACATGGTGAAGGTGGTGAGAACGTTCATACAGTAAAAGATTAGTTATGCTAATCATTATTATCATTATGAGACTTTATGATTGATTAATTGTTTTATTTTGTTAATCTGTATGTATGTATGAATGGATGGATGCTAGCTTGTGTACCCAACATCATAAATTTCTGTATTGTATAATCTTCCTTTTGGATATTAAATGTAGATTAATAAGTTTTTAATTTGGATACCTTCTTGTCATCTCGAAATTGAGATAAAGGATTCACTGGTTCTAATTGTTTTATGATTGACACACTGCTTTCTAAATCGAAGTAATGATTTGAGTTTAGTCTCTTTTCAATTTTTCATCAAGTATTAAATTTCTCTTCGAAATAATTTTCTAACCACATATATGTATATATAAAACGGTATTTGTTGTTTGGAATGTATAGATTTTTTTTAATTTTATCTTTAACAATATTTTAAAATCCAATAAAACCACAGAGAAAAATTCACATTCTATGTACAATTAGACTATAGATATTGCAAAAAAACACTATAACGTATAATAAATAATATATTTAATTATTTTTTATATAATAAAATATTATGCATGAGTATGTTTAACTCATGAGGGAATAAGATGATGTGTGAAGAAAGTCCAACCGTTAAAGTTGCCGGATATGACAGGAAGCTAAACTTTTAAATATGTTTGTTTAGTGCCTTTTCTCAGTATAATTAATTATTTTGTAAAAAAGGTATATTCATTACTATTATACGTAACAAAACCTTAAGTTAAGATCATTATCATAATATAGTAAAAAAAGGATATAACATAATTAGTTTTACTTAATGATTAATTTTTGAGTTCTATTAGCGTGTACAATGTGTAAAAAATGTAGTTAGAATGATATTTCATCCCACTTAATTTTGATGTGTTTAATAGAGTTTGGTGGGACAACTTAAAGTAGATGGGACATTCATTCATTGTTTAGAAGTCCTTTTTGGTCCTCTTATCAATCAAAAACACATTTCAAAATTGTTTAAATTGCGTGTCTCAGCACATTTTTGTCATTATTGAGTCATTTCTCAGACCACACACCAACTCAGATTCTGGCAGACTGCTTTCTCTGAGTTTTCTAAAATTTTAGGGTTAGGAAACATTTACACACTGTAAAAATTATTCAATTTCCACTTTTAATAAATAGTCTTCTATAAAATATGCATTTAATCTATTTAATAGTTGAATTTCACAATTTTTCTATTGATTAAATAATGCAGACAAACTTTCATATAATTTTGCAGTTTATTGCACAACTTGATTTTTATGTTTAATATATAATATCTAAAGTGTATAAACATTCGTTATTGGATGTCACATTAAATTTTCCTTGAGAGTTTCATCATTGTTGCATATATCCAACACACATTATGCATATTCAAGAAACAAGTGTATGAAACAAAGGAGAGAAAGATGAACGATAAAGAGAAGAGAAAAATGAGAAAATGTATTATTTATTCTGTTGAAGAGGTACAAAGGTGGGTTTATATATAACGAATTGTCATAATCGATAATTATAAAAGCATAACCAATCAATTAAAGCTAAGAGCCTCCTTCAAACTTGAAGTACAAGTTTAGTATTCCTAGCTTGGAACATATACTCTTGAAATTCATAGGAGGTAAAGATTTTGTGAGAATGTCAGCTAGCAGTGATTTGCTGGATACAACAGCTTCAACAATTAATCCTTTCCCTCACAATATGAAAATCTATCTTTATGTGCTCAGTTCTCTCATGCATCACTTGATTAGAGACAATTTGAATGGTCGATTGATTATTATAGTAAAGGACAACATGATTCTTATGATTGATTCCAATATCATAAAAAGGTTCTATAACCACTGAATCTCACAGGTTATGGCAACAAGTGCTTTATAGCCTTGGAAGAACTCTTAGAAGTAGTATGTTGATTCTTCAAACACCGTGAAATAGGTGAATTTCCAAAGTATACAATGTAAACTGTGAAAAATTTTCTGGTCTTTGCACATCCAGTTTAGTCAGAGTCACCATACTCCTTCAATTGAGCTTTACCGTTGACAGCAAGAAAGATATCATTTACTGGTGTTTTCTTCAAATGTCTTAGGATTTGCATGGCAACTTGTTGGTGTATACTAGTTGGTGCAAAGAAATATTGGCTTAGATGTTGAACATGAGTGATATTAGGTCGTGTATTAGTAAAGTATATTAACCTTCCTATCAGTCTCTTACGGGAGGAATGATCAAGAAGGATTTCTCCCACATAACCAGGAAGGTTGTGGTTCATAGATTAATGGCTAGAGCTTAATTCATCATCCTTGTGTCTTCAAGAAAATCTATAACATATTTCTTTTTGACACAAATGAATTCTACTTTTATTTCTATAGCAACCTCTAAGTTAAGAAAATATGTCAATTCTCCAAGGTTTTTAATTTTAATAGTTTCATTAAGGAGATAAGTTAAATCTTCACTCTCAGTTACATCATTTCCACATCATTTCCGGCTAATATGCTTCATCTTCAAGAAGAAAAAGTATGAAATAAAAGAGAGAACAAAAACCCATATAAAAAAGACAAAAATGAGAAAATGTGTTATTCATTTTGTTAAAGAGGTACAAATAGGAGTTTATACAACTCTAAAGTCTGATTGAGAAGAAATTAAGAATTAATTCAATATAAAACATATAATCAGTAAAAAAAACTTTTTTTTTTGTTTTTCATAGATTATATCTCTTTTTTGATGACTATCTTTTTCTAGAGCTGTCAA